CCCCCCCCCCCCCTGCCGCTCCAGCCTGATACTCAAGTGTACGGATCTTGGGCTCATGCCTAGGCTGAGATGTTCATGGGGGGCAAAGAACAGAATGCAGAGGTCTGAACGCACCCTGGTACCACTGATGCCATCCCAGCTGCCACCTTCACATAGGCTTTGCCCCTGTGCATCACCCAGAATCCCTTGCCTCTGGGTGCATATCACACCTACACGCCACAGTGCCTGAAATCCAGGAGGTTGGTTACTGTAAGGGTTGGAGGGGACCTTGAAAGATCATTGAGTCCAACTCCCCTGCTCTGGGCAGGAATACTGCTGAGATCAAATTATCCCAGCAGGGTGTCTGTCCGGTCTCCTCTTGAAGACTTCCAAGGTTGGGGACTGCACCACCTCCTTGGGAAGTCTATTCCAGATTCTGGTCACCCTTACTGTAAAGAAGTCATTCCTTTCATCCAACCTGAAACCATCCTCTAACAGTTTATGGCCATTGCTCTTTGTTTTCCCCTGGGGCACCCTAGGGTGATTGTACACGTGATGGTGGGGCCATGTACATGTGAAAAAAAGTGATGAGAAATCATTTGTCTAAGATAATGGTGTCACCACGTAAACGTGACAGTTTTTTTCACATTACAACTTATTTGAGCGTGGCAACTTAGACCACCTTGGATGTATTTTAGTTTAATTGAGGCAAATTGTCCTGTTGTGGATTTAAAAAATCGTGCACTTGTACATGTCTGGCAGCCGGAGAAGGTGGCAGGGACAGTGCAAAGGGTGCTGGAAGCCCATGCAAGCTCACAGAAGCTTGAGCTTGGCGGGCTTCCAGCACCCTGTTGTGCACTATCCCCACCACCTTCTCCAGGTGCCAGCACACCCCACCCTCCTGCTGCCTTCCCTAACTGCCCCAGGGGCAAGCCAGCCTGTTCCTGGGCAGTCCCAGGCAGCAGGAAGGTGGCAGGGACAGTGCATGGGGCCCTGGAAGCCCGCCAAGCCTGAGCTTCCCTGAACATGCCTGGGCTTCCAATGCCCCATGCACCATTAGATGCTGGGTGCTGCCTGTGACCTGGGGCAACCCTGGGGGGTGCCACCGCCATGGAGGGAAGCACTGCCCACCCCCCCACCCCCCTGCAGCCCAGGGGCTTCACAGCCTAGAAGCAGCTTGCACAGGCAGGCTCTGCTGGGGAAAAAACAAAACAAAACAAAGCAACGAGGGGCCTGATCCTTTTTTTTCTTCCTCATGGAGCCCGCTTGTCTCTCCTGTGACAGGGGGCTGAGTGGCCCGCGAGCTGTGGGGGGCCCCGGACCTTCCCTCCGCAGGGACGGCACCTCCCGGGGCTGCCCGGGCGGGCTGCTATCTGGCAGATGCCACCTGGGGGGTGCTGCCACCTTGGAGAGAAGGTCCAGGGCCCCCTGCAGCTCAGGGGCTGCTGGCAGCTCGCACCCCAGTCGCAGAGGTGGGCAGCTCCATGAGGGAAAAAAAAGGATCTGGCCCCTCGTTGCTTTGGGGTTTTTTTCCTGGGTGGAGCTTGCCTGCAGCAGCAGGGGGGAGGGGGCAAGCTGACAGTGGCCTTCACTCTTCCATCACAGTGATGGAAGCTCCTACATTGAAACGGTGGGTCACAATTAAAAACCTGCAAATTAAAACCCCACCATTTCAAATTAGGGGAATTAAACCACCTCATGTGTACAAGCACTCCCAGTGAACAGTTTTTTTCCCAGTTCCTGATATTCTTCCCTTACATACTTATAAATGGCCACCAAGTCCCCCCTCAGTCTTCTCCTCCCCAGGCTGAACAGTCCCAGATCCCATAGTCTTTCCTCATAAGGTTTGCCTCCAGGCCCTTAATCACTCTTGCAGCCCTTCTCTGGACCCTTTCAAGAGTCTCCATGGCTTTTATGAAGTGTGGTGCCCAGAACTGGACATAGTGCTCCAGCTGGGGTCTCACCAACGTCGAGTGAGGAAGTATCACTTCCTTAGCCCTGCTCGTGATGCACTGGCTAATGCATCCCAGGATGCTATTAGCTCAATTGACTACACTGTCACACTGGTGGCTCATGTTCATCCTGTGTCATCAACCATAACCACAAGGTCCCTTTCAGCCATCGTGCTGGCCAGGACATCTCCTCCAAACCTATATTCATGTTCCTGGTTACTTCTCCCCAGATGAAGCACTCTGCATTTATCCTTACTGAACTGCATCCAGTTCCACTCCGCTCACCTTTCCAGTTTGCCTAGGTCCACTTGGATACACATCCTATCCCCTAGCATGCCCACTTTCCCCATAACTTAGTATTGTCTGCAAACTTGGGCAGTGTGCTTTCCACATCCTCATCTAAATTGTTGATAAAGATGTTGAACAG